TTCCATCAGTGCAGATTCCTGATGGAGTTGAATCTACATCTGTCTCGCAGATTCATTTCGTGGAGTTGCAGCATCAGGGTCCTTCACTTACGAGGACACTGATCTGGATGAGACGTGGGAGGAGGATGACTCTCAGATCCTTGCTGATCTTTTCCCGTATCTACAAAAGAAGAAAAAGCACAGGTCGGATCTCATCCTGCTTCGACCCTCTATCTTGGGAGCCAGGTTCAGAGGGCTTTTAGACTGTGGGGCTACTCACAACTTTATGTCTCCTAAGACAGCCAGCAGGCTACACTAGGATCAAAGACTAATAAAGTTGCGACAACTAATTGAGATTCGCATAGGCGACTCATCTACAGTCAGGATCACTACCGATGTCAAAGGTCTACCTGTAGTCTTTGATAGGCAGGGATAAATCAGGCAACGCCTAAATCTCTATGTGTTTCCCAATGTACCCTTTTACCGTGTTTTCTCCCTACAGTGGCTTGAGGCCACCAACCCTAAGATCGACTAGCGTATCCCTTGGGTTGAGGTACCTGACCGACGAGGGGAGTATCGCCCTTGTATGCTCACCGATGGGTATCATCCACTCAGTAGTTGTTATTGTATGCGTGTTCATAATTTCTTGTGACTCTCACGCCAGACTGACCACACACGTCTATTTGTAGCAAGTGGTTGTCACCACAGACTGACATATGTTAAACAAACTGATGTGAAGACTATTCCATGTCCCTCTCAAATTCGGCATGTGGTTGACCGGTTCTCGGACCTTATGCAGAAGCCTACTGGACTTATCCATAAGATCGAGCTCCTGCCTGGCGCCGTCCCTCCCAAGGGCCGAGTCTACAGGATGTCCTCTGCTGAACTTTATGAGCTCAAGAAACAATTAGAGACCCTGACCAACAAGGGTTGGATACGTCCCAGCACATTTGAATTCGCAGCACCGGTTCTCTTTGTTCCAAAGGGAAACGGTGAGTTCAGAATGTGTGGACTACAGGGGACTCAACAAAATCACGAGGAAGTCCACAGAGCCTCTTCCTTGGATCGATGATCTGTTGGACATGGTGCAAGGCTGCATTATTTTCAGCAAGATCGATCTCAAATCTGGTTACCACCAGATTAAGATGGTTGAAGGCGATGTCCACAAGACAGCCTTCAAGACCAGATATGGTACCTATGAGTACCTGGTCATGCCCTTCGGTCTTTGCAATGCCCCTGGCACTTTCCAGATAAAGATGCATCGCATCCTCAAGCCTTACCTGGATAAGTTTGTACATGTTTATCTGGATGATATCCTGATATTCAATCATTTTGTCCAGGAGCATGCGCAACATCTGGCTCTTGTCCTCCAGGCCTTACATGACAACCAGTACAAGATCAATAGAGAGGTCCTCTTGCGGAGTTAACTTTGTTGTCTATCTGGATCCTGTCATCTCTGGAGAGGGGTTGGCTCCTGAAGCAATGAAAGTTGTAGTTGTTCATGACTGGTCGAAGCTCTTAACAGTCTGTGATATCCGGTCTTTCCTGGGTCTTGCATCCTACTATAGGAAGTTCATTAAGAACTTCTCTTATATTGCATCACCCCTGACCGACCTCACAAAGAAAGACACTCCCTTTCTTTGGACATCAGACTGTCAAGAGGCCTTTACACGTCTCAAGGAGGCATTGATTCGTGCGCCTGTTTTGAAGTTACCTGACCCTACTTTGCCTTTTGTGCTAACCATTGATGCTTGTCAGTATGGTGTAGGGGCGGTACTTCCGCAGGATAGTGGGAATGGTCTGCAGCTTGTCGAGTACATGAGCAAGAAGATCAAAGCCAAGAAGTTGCAGGACTCTACCTATAAGAGCGCTCAAGCATTGGAAGCACTTTCTCCTGGGCCGACACTTCAAGATCTTTTCAGATCGCTCCACCCTTTAGTGTATGAAGTCCCAAGGAGAGTTGAATGACAAGCTTGCCCGCTATATTCAGTTCATTGACTTGTTTGACTTTGAATTGAACACTCACCTACAATCGAGTAGCAGACACCCTTTCTCGTAGGCCTGACGCTCTCTTCCTGATCTCCTTCACTCACTCGTTTGGAGAGAAGACTCGTCAGACCATTGCCAGTTATTGCCTCAGGACCCGATTTTTGGGCCTATGTAAGGAACCTGCAGGCCAATCCTGCCTCTGAACTAGGTTACGCACTGGTTTCAGGTCTGCTGTATACCTGCAACAAAGGTGAGGTACGTCTGTGCATTCCTCAGGATCGCAAGTTGACAACACTCTTTGTGTCAGAGTGTCATGACGTTCGTGGTCATTTTGGCGCCCTCAAATAATATGCGGCCCTGTCGCAAACGATCTTCTCGAAAGAGATGAGGAGTGACCTGCTGCACTCCGTTGAAACCTGTGACCTATGCCAAATGAACAAGGTCGTACGCGGACCTCCCCTTGGCCTACTCAAACCACTTCCCATTCATGAGGCTCCTGCACAATCAGTGTCTATCGACTTTACTAATTTGGGTAGGACCACCCCTCGTGGTATGCGTCATATTATGGTTTGTGTGGACAGGTTCTCAAAGTATGCAAAATTCATCCCTTCACCAGGGGAAGCCAGAGTCCCTGTTGTTCAGGCGGCATTTGTTGACAAGTGGGTTACACATCATGGATCACCCACGTCCATTGTCAGTGATCGAGATCCCCGCTTTTGCAGCCATGAATGGTAGCCCTATTGTAAGGACTACCTTCATTCACGCTTGGATATGACATCTGGTCATCAACCTGAAGCCAATGGACAGGCTAAAGTGATGAACCAGATTTTGTTTCAGCTGCTGCGTCCTGTGATCAGCCCAGATCAGCAGGATTAGGATCTGCATATGACTCGTGCTCAGCTAGTGTATAACACGTTTGCTTACTCCTCCACTGGTTTCACACCGTACAGGTCACACTGGGGCCGTGAACCTCGGCAGCCTCTCGATGATATCATCGATAAGGCTACCCCTACACTAACACCTGGAACCACATAGTTCACCAAGCGTTATCGTGTGGATATAGAACGCACCTGTGCCAACCTGCTCAAAGCCCAAAAGGCTATGATACAACAGGCTAACCGGCACCATCGTCCTTCAACTATTCGCACAGGTGACGGGTTTGGGTGCTCAGTTCTGAGCTATCCTTGAGGAGGACATTTCGCCTAAGCTGTTGCCGCGATACATGGATCCATGGCAGGTTTTAGATACAGTGGGGGCTGATCCTTTTGGACCATCATAGACTGTTGACGTCCCTTTGCATCTACAAACCTATCCGGTCTTCCATGCATCTAAGTTGTTGCCTTTAAATTCAGCTGATGCATTTCCGGACAGACCCCCTCAATGCGGTCCCCCAATCCCTGGCGAGGGATATAAAGTGGAATCGATTGAGGATGAGATGGGCACAGGCCCAGATATGCAGTATCTTGAAGTTCCTGTACCAGCCTCACACTAAGGATCGCTGCTTTACACGCAGGGAACTTCTCAAGACAGCAAAGTCGGTTGTCCTCAAGTATGAGGCAGCTAAGAGGGGACTATACCCTCGACGTTCTGCTCGCCTACACTCCTAGCTCGGAGGTCCTCGCTCTGGGGGAGGGTAGGTCTGCAATGACTTGCTAATTCTGCATCCTTCGACCCGTCGACCCAAGGCTGTAGCATAGGTAGGTTACTTTTGCTATTTTGTTTGGCTGCGGGTTGACCGAGAGATTTGCTTGTATGGAAAATTCGCATGGGACATATCTGTAAATTCGTAGAATTTTAGGCCCGCACTAACTTGAATTTCCTACAGCTACCCTAACAGCGAATAGCAGACCTGGGCTACCACTAGGGCAGAAAGGCCTACGGGCCTATACTGCTAGATGGTCTTATAGCCTATACCTGGGTAGGGAGAGGCCCTAGAGGCCGAACTGAAATGGTACCGGTCAATCCAGTCAGTCCGGTCTAGGTCGTGTCTAAGCTAGGGTAGACTATGAATAGAGGTAGGGAAAACTGTTCAAGAACTTTGGCAGTTGGTACCGTGCACATCACGACGACACAGCGCATGAACTGGAAGTGGTGACAGTTTCAGCGTTGGGAGAGACAGACATAGCCGGACCTGCGAAGCGTCGGCCATTGCTGGGACCTACGCTGTTCTCTGACAGCACGCGGGGTTGTTCCGAGGTCCGGGCTATCTGAAGTCTGCTAGAGGCAAGAGAAGTTGGTGCCCTGCTGAACCCTCCTCAGGAGTAGGGTATCGGGGAGTGGCACTGCAGCTATAGCTGCAGCTTTCATCCTCAGAGATCATCTTTGTCAGGAGAGGTGGCGCTGCTACAGATTTCCATCCGGGACGTCTTCTGGCACTTCATCATCATCAGAGACTGTGGCGCTGGTCTTCTTCTTCATCCTCTGAGAGGCCTCAGAGGCCTGTTTCAGGGTGGCGATTGCCCCTGGAGGCAGTATCTGGATGGCGCTGGTTGTTTCAGGAGCTCAGGGGTAGTGATAGCGGTTACTCAGGGTTGGGGAAAGAAGCAGCGCATCACAGTTCTGGGGTTATTCTGACAAATTGAGACTCTGACTTCAATAAACAGTGTGGATACTGTGTCGGAACTATCTTTACTTCATTGTTTCTGGATGTGATCTACTCTGCTTTCCTTTGTGACTGGTTGTGAGGATTCTGTGGAGTGAATTGCACTTTCAGTGTACTCTGTCATATCATATGGCTAAGTCTTCCGCTGTGTTTTTATCTCCCTGTGCAGTGTGATACTCCCATCCTCTCCCCTTTCTTCTGTGTACGTATGGGCATACCTGGAAGTCTATGTGAGTGAGTGTTGGTCTTCAGACAACAAACAACCAGGTTCATAACAATTGTTCCGGAAAGTGATAATATTTGCTGGCCAGTGGTCACTCTAACTGCTGTGACTTATGATTGTCGGCAAGAGTTTGCAAACACTTCATTCAGCCTGAGCATGAAATCATCCAACAGAAAAGTGCGAAAAAGTTCTGCGCCCTCTTCTCACCGTCAACCGGACCTTCTTCTGGAACTGAATATTGACCAGGTGAGGCTGAGTACCGTCCGATCTGATCATCCAACAGACAAACCACAATGGGAAACGTGACACCAGTTTCACCAACGAAGCTAGATTAACAAGCAGACAAACAATTTGCAGAAAACGAAGAAGGGAACAATGACCGTAGATAAGCCTGCATTTTTTTCTGAAGCAAACGAGTTTTCAACTTTTCACGGTATAAAAAAGAAAAAAAAAGGGTTTTGGAGCACCTGATTGATAGGGTATTGGAAGGTTATCAAACCCCTTTCTTTTCTTTTTTTTTCTATCCTTGAGAATGAAAAGTCATTTTCTTCAGAAAAAATTGGTGACACATGTACATCCTCATACATAGGGTGGGTAATGTCACAAAAACCCTTTCTGGAAAACGAATCATTTAAATTCACCACAAAAGAACTACACCTTCAAATACCCATTTATGTAGCCCCCTTCCCGGAAGCACCAACACCCTCCAAAAATACAGATTCTGAAAGCAAGACCGAATTCGTCCTCCATCATACCCTTGCGGACGTGAGGTAAACAGAAGAGGGAAAAAAAAACCTATCATCGCCTGTGAGAAATACGTACCTGTAGCAAAGGATTGCTTGCTATAGCAAAAGTGCGGTTGGAATAAACCAACAACCAAAAAGAAAAGAAAAAAACTGCGCAAGACATATATTTAGTGGCTAAGGCTACCAGAGGTTACTCCGGGTGGAATTGTGGGGAACCCAGCCCTGACTGCATATTTTTCGAAATGAAATGAGAACGTGTTCTCATGAAAAAATAAATAAAAAAGATTAATTTTTTTTAGTGAATGAGCCACGGAGGACCCACCTTGGATACTCTGGGAGGCTGTGATCTGGGGAATCGAGTCCCAAATTGTTGGCTCAGAAACGGAGCGCACATGGAAAGGCCTACAGACGTGAGCAGTTGCGAGTCTGGCTGGGAAATGTGCCCCGTGTAGATTGGGGTTGGTCTGAGTTTTTCAGTGGGTAGATGATGAAATGCTGTAGACATCCAGACATGCCATAGCTGCTGGTAGTCGGCTGATAGCTCCCTCCCACCCATCCCTCCATCCGTCCATCCATTCCGTCCGTCCGTTCGCCCCTCTCTCCCTCCCTCCCTCCCTCCCTTCCTCCCTCCCTCCCTCCATCCATCCGTCCCTCCATCCGCCCATCCACCCACGCATCTATTCGTTTCACTAATGAGCTAATAAGAAACAACAGCAAGCTGGCACAGGTACGTAAAAGACGCAAGGTAGAGCACAAAACAATCAGGAGAAAACAAAGGGCACTTACTGGAGGGCAGGGTGGAGAAGACAGAGCTAGATACTTGGGTAGAAGACTCACTGCCAATACGTGTCCAGATTATCATCTCGCAGTAATTCAACCCCATTCCCTGGTTTGGCACTCGTGACAGACCATACAGCCAGCTTGCCTATCTCCCGCTTGTCAGATTCATCATCACTGGACCTCGATTCTGACCGAACAAACAGGTACATAACAGATTCATCAACCCATCACCGAGCTTATTGACTTCCGTCACAAGTACAAGAATGGCTTTTTGGGTAAAGGCATGGCACAATCACCATCAGCAAATGCAAAAAAAAAAAAAGGAAGGTAGTACATCTTCTCCCCCATCCTGCCCAAGGATCCGCCTATACACTGTATACAGTCATGTTACGTTGTTCACATTTTATTATTACTAAAACCCCGATAATGTCCTGAACAATATAGCCAACCCCTGCAGACAGAAAGAAAATCATGCAGCTGTTAGATCGCTAAAAAGGGCAGGCCTCTCTGAGACCGGGGTAGTCATCTGAAGTAGTGATGGATAGTTTAACGCAACAAACATACCCTACACTATGGGCAATTCCACCGCAGACCTCAGATTAATCCTGCAAATCCCACAAGGTGCGGCATTAATCCTTCCCCGACCTCCTCCCCCTCGACTCCCTCCCTCCCCTCGACTCCCTCCCGGCGCCACAAACACACACACAAGTACACACATGACGAGACTCGCATACCACTACCTTCTTTCCGCGAACATAACACCCCATCATCATTACCGTATACAAACCCCGTCGATGATGCTGGGGCATTGTGTTGGGGTGAAGAAGGCGGGGGGGACATTGCCTTCTGGAGAACAGACAGTGTCCGTTAGAATGAGCACTCGCTATCCGCACAAATACATATCCTTGGCCTCCACAACTCCTTAAATAGTCGAACTCTTCCTTAGCACTGGTAAACAATCTGTGGTGACCTCCAAGGACCGCCACCACTACCACCAGCGAAGAGGATTGGATCAAGCACCTCCATTTGGATGTGCAGAGATGCAGAAGGCAACAGATCAATTTATATTTTGCAGACCTCTCCACAAATACATGCAGATTTGGGTGTCAAATCCAATCCTCTTTGCTATTTTGTTAGTGGGAAGTGGAACCTCTCCCCCAGCTAACGTTTGGATGAACAGACCTGCCTCTGTTTGCTGCTCAAGGATTACCGAGGTGACGGAGGTCACGTGCCATATGAGCGGGATCCCAGTTTGCTCACGATGACGTCGGGGTTCCTGGCTCGCATTGGCATCCGGCCAGGATTCCTGTTTGAAGCTCACGCGGGATCATATCCCAGTAGGCCAGTTCGGCATCACATCCGGCCTGTTGCCCCCACGATCAGGACGCGATGTCGACGTCGATCACACGTCGACGCGGATCGGGACGCCACGAAGATGCCACGTGGACGCCGATCACGTGGGCTGTAGCTGAGAACGCCACATGGTTATCATCATCATGGCGAGAAAGGAAAACGACTCTCTCTCTCTCTCTCTCTCTCTCTCTCTCTCTCTCTCTCTCTCTCTCTCTCTCTCTCTCTCTC